ACCTACCCCTGTCCACGCTGTCAAATGCCTTTTTAAAATCCACAAACGCCACATAGAGTGGGCATTTGGGAATAGTTAAGGTGTTATTTATTAGCATATTAAGCGGTTTCAGTGGATAGGTCGTTTCGGAAGCCATGCTGTTGTGCAGGCAGTATCCCTTGGTTTTCTGCCCAGTTTAATATACGTTTACTTAGTATATACGTATAACATTTTAGAACACACGATGATAATGCAATACCCCTATATGAGTCTGGGTGTGACAACGATCCTTTGCCCTTATATATTGGCAACAAGTAGCCAATCAGCCAATCCGATGGGCAACAACTGTTTAGAAAACAAAAGTTTAGAATTTGAGTTATTGGAGCTACTAAGATCTCACTACAGTTTTTCAAAACATCATAGGTGATGCCGTCCGGCCCGGCCGCTTTACCCGCTTTCCCCCTACCAAATGCAATTAAAACTTCGGACTCATCAATGGGCCATGAAATAGGATCATCATCTGTCACTACATTTGCGTAGTAAGGCAACATCGGTAGATTGTCAGTATGCAATAAGGCACTAAAGTGATCAAACCACATTTCAGGGGACACCTGGGATCCACCCGACTTTGATTTTCTAGTTCTCCAAAGTGACCAGAAATCGCTGATACTGGCTTCAGCCTTTCCAATCATCCGTATTATTTGCTCCTCCTGATATTTATGTTTTTTCTTTTATCTATAAAACATATAGATAGGTGTATAAATTAACAGTTTTCAAATATAACAATATGTTCTGGTGTGAGAGTTGTATCGAGTATAACTCTTTCATGAAGATAAAGAACTCAGATTATCTCATTAAGCCATACACACATAGCCATATATTAATATTAATAATAATAATAATAATAATTATTATTATTATAATAATAAAGATAATAATGATGATGATGATGATGATAATAATTATTATTATATAGTTATATATAATTATTATTATAATTACGATATAATTATAATAATAATAATAATAATAATAATAATAATCAAATAATGGTAGAAATGCCCATTTAATGTTTTGTGTATTTCCAGATAATATTTTTTAATAATATATAATAGTATTAATATAAAATATTTTACATCACTGTTCTATATCTGCTGATGAGTGTGATTCTAATAATAGGTAGTTTTTGCCGTACGTCGTTAACCTGAACTTTAACGTTAGTACCCAACATGCAACGCGATAACTCCGCCCCTTTTGTAAACAAACCTAAATACGCATGCGCAAACCCGTAACTAACGTCCGTCGAGCATGTAAAATCCTGAAATTAACGTACTCCGCAACGCAAGATGAATAAAATATGACGTCATCCGTTAACATTAAGGTTAGCGTCTTGCAGCGAAAACTCCCTAATATTAATTATTTCGAACGGTGGGAATGTCTGAATCCGCGCCTGATTTGTTTTATGAACACGTGTTCATAGGTATACGTACGTTTACGCTATCGTTTCCTGGGGGATCTTAGTAAACATATCTAAAGGGTGGAGCCTAACGGGAAGTTCCACTGTGATAACTCCTGCTATGCATTATATCATGAAAAGGAATATCAGAACCATGGACCTATTATAGGTCCATGGTATGAGTATGCTTGTCAGCACACTGACGTCACGAACCATGGCTGATAAAATACACATACAAAGTATATTGCAAATTACTGGTGATTAATTTTATTGTAACCCTTGACCAAACATTTCTATCATTATGCAAATTACAAATGGTTTTGCATACTATATTTGCATAATTATTTAAGTGACCACATACAGTTAATCAAAATATACTTATCGTTATTTAGCTTAATTACAAACTTAATGAAAGATGATAGTTTCCTATAGATTTTAAATATCTTACATAAATAAATATTTACAACTTATTTTGTCTACTTAATTAAGGCGAAATTAATTAATTATTTACAAATTATTAAATTACAGAAAAAAAATTATATAAAAAAAAATGTTATATCGGATGTGTCTGAGTTTACATCTTAATATACATGCCGGTTCAAAATTGCTTGATAGTATGCCTTGCGTATGACTGTTTGTCGCCCTCATTAATAGTTCAAAGGGGAATTCCCTTTTGTATCACTTCCGACCGTTGACAAATCGTTTTTATGTTTCTCATTTAATATTTTTATTTATGAGATTAAAATTATAGATTAATAAAATAAGTTCATATAGCTAAATATAATTTGTAAAAAATATTTTTATGAATGAAAATAATTTGTATTCAATTGAGATATGAAGATGGAACATTTTTGAAGCACAAAAATTCGCAATAAAACTAAATCATTCGATCAGACGGACGTATATATTTGCAAACAGCCTAGTAACGAATCTCCTCACACGCACAGCAGCTTGGGATGGCAACATATTGAACCTGAAGCACGGGTCGATCATGCAGACATCGTGGGATGACCAATGCTTTTCTCCATTCGAATTTTTGTAGACAGTTACCACCTCCGCTGAGAGTTGCGCACCTCTGTCGTCTGCCAAACAATTGGAAGTACATAATGATAATATAATGGTATAATAATAATTATGTAATAATAATAGTAATAATATTAATAATATCAATAATAGTAATAATAATAATAATATAAATAATAATAATAATAATAATAATAATAATAATAATAATAATAATAATATTATAATGATGATTATGATGATAAAACACGGTAATGCAGAACGTGTTTCAAAATTTTCCAAATTAAATATTATTTAGTAATGGGTTTATTAATTAGGTACTATCATGAATGGTTAAAAAAATAGCAGCATTTATACTCACAAGCATCGTGCTGAATCAAAGTACTGCTGCACGGAGACGTATCCGACTTGAGCCTGGACAAGATAAACCAACTGCCCTCTCGTGTTGTAGGCTGTACGTGGTTGAATATTTTGTCTGTTTACGGGACAAAGATCGGCAAACTGAGGGAGGGAACCCGGCAAATGGCTAGGTGGGTTGGCTGCAATGAAAGGTGGCACCAATGGGAAACCAGTGCCTCCGTTACCACCGGCTCCACCGTCACCACCATTACCTCCGAAGAACCCTCCATCTCCACCATCACCACCACCACCACCATCACCACCGAGTTGTCCCCCATTACCACCAGTTCCACCTTCACCGCCGTCACCGCCGTTTTCACCACCGTCACCGCCGTTACCGCCTTCCCCACCTTCGCCACCGAGAACACCACCTTCGCCACCATCACCACCCTCTCCACCATCGCCGAGACCGCCACCGTATGTTCCACCTCCGTTGCCACCGTTGCCTCCGTCACCACCCTCGCCATTATTAATAGCATTACCACCGTTACCACCATTACCACCATCTCCATTATTTCCTCCTCCGGTACCACCATCTCCTCCATCACCACCATCGAAATTAGGTAGCCCGTAGTTTATAAATGGCACGCCATAACTAAAGGTAAAATAGAAATTAACTTTATTGTAAAATAGAAAATGCCAACCTAATCCTGTTAGAAGGCCTACCCATCACTAATTTCACCACCATCGAAATTAGGTAGCCCATAGTTTATAAATGGCATGCCATAACTAAAGGTAAAATAGAAATTAACTTTATTGTAAAATAGAAAATGCCAACCTAATCCTGTTAGAAGGCCTACCCATCACTCATTATGCCTCTTAATAGGTTTTCATATGTTTATTGATTTCGAAGTACATTTGTATTCAGATTGGTGAGATGAACATCTTAAATCTACGGTTGAGATAATTGACTTGAAATGTTCTGCGTAATAACAACAGATATCGGGATCGAAGACGATTTGGATAAAATAAAACTGTGACCTATAATAACATTCTACTCAACGGTTATAATAACTCTCATAAATGTAAAAGAGTGCCTACAGAGATCACTCCAATTTCACTCTATCACGAGTGATAACTCTTAAATGAATGAATATTATTCTTAAAATAATGAAAAAATAGTAAAATTCACTCAGAATAAAGTGAAATCTCACTTTAAAAAAAAAACTCTATGTATTTCACTCAATTGGAATGGTCACTGTAAGGACGTTTTCACTCTGTTTTACTATTTTGCATGTAGAGAGGAAACAATACTTACAATACTATATCTGGGTTAACTTCGGGTAGTTCTGGATTTATAATGTTACCATACTGTGACAGAATGTCTTCCAAGGCTTTTTGGTCAGTGGCGAGTCTATAAAAGATAAATAAATAAATGGAAACATAAAATATATTCTAATATTCATGAAGATTCATTTGTCATCCAGACTGAGAGTGCCCAGAGGGTGGCAATAAAAACATCTGTGGTATGTATGACAGCTTCTAACATTCCAATCCTCCTGACGATATTTTTTCCCAGAATTTTACCTGAGACTATAATTTATAAAGATGGAAGGTTGCTAAAGTATGGTTAAACCATGCATGACACGTGTTAATGTAGGCATATATTGTTCTTAATCATCATGGTACGATATCATTTGCATATTCCGTTAACACTGTAGACTATCAATATAAGGCAACGGGGTAAAGGGCTAAATCTCCATTAGTTTTATACATGAGTTTGTTAAGCGAGTCTCGATATAATTAACAACTTGGGTTAGTGATTATACAGAGTTTAAATTATAACTGTACACGTCTGTAGCACTGGTAGCACTGACAATTTACTACTGCAATCGCAATGCAGATATGTTACGTGTCTTTTTTCTGTATACCCTTCATAGTGTTTACAGTACAATCGTTACACTGCGTAGCAGTTCTCAACGCAATTGGGTAAGGCTTTCCAATTCGACCGACCAATCAGAATCCCCGAAAGCTGTCGGCGACAGCGTGTAGCGATTGTATGGAAACTAAGCTATATTTGTGAATGACATCACTTACCCACAAAGCCTATCGTCAACTTTAGGGCCATACGAAGCGGAAACTATCACAACCAGGCATAAAACACTGACGATTTTAATCTATAAATTTAATTTAAAAAAAGAAGTACCGGTAATACATCAATATTATATACAATTATTATTATCAACAACAATAAATTTTAACATATAACCACAAATAAAAACATTGATAACACTAACTATCAAAAATAAAACATAAATAAATTAATTACATTACAGGTAAAATGTAATAGCGTTTAAAATTTGTTATTCATTAAACAGTTACTGTAAAACCCAATGGGCTTAATCTCGAGAAGAAGCCCATCTCGAATTGAAGCTCCCTTTTCAGTTTGCAAAATTAGCATCAAAAAGAAGCCATGGTCTTCTTTTCAAAATAGCGTAGGCTTCTTTTCGAGATAGTGGAGTGGAGTTGAATAGCTTAGTGGTTAAGATGCTTGCCTTTTGATCCCAGGATCCTAGGTTCAATTCCTGTCACTGCAGGAATTTTTCTTACGACTAAAAACAACTCCACTCCCTAATCTTCATAAAGAGACTTAGTTTAAAGCATCATTCTCATCCTGTAAGTGGCAAGTGTACTTGCTGTTGGATGTTAAGGGAAATATAGAAAAAAATAGTACCGTACATAAACTGTACATGAATTTAAAAAAAACCAACAAAATAAATTAAAATCACGCTTGGTTTATACAGTAGTTTAGGTGATTTAATGCCAGTTAATACACTGCATTATACACTAGTCGAAGAATAATATGGCGAACATTGAACTTAATTACTCTTCAAAGTGGCAATCCCGTCACAAGAAAACATAAATACGCGATGCTTTTCTTTCGTAGACTATGTCTCAATGGTTGGAGTGGAGTTGTTACCAATACAAGAATTGAACCCAGAAAACTGGGATTGGAAAGCAAACATCTTAACCACGGAACTATCCAACTTCACTCTTCTCAGTTAAGAAAATCATTTACATGATATATCATAATCATAGGCCTCTTGACAATAAATTATTCAACTTACCATCTTCTTTGCTGCCCTTCACTTTTTCCAGCAGACAATTTTGTTTAAAGACCGTGATTTTGATTCTGAATTAAACACTATCACGAAGTCTTTTATACCCTCATTCCATCGGGCGGAGCTAAGTTAAATAGTAGGTGGGGCTCAAACCGTCACCAAGTATCCACCCGGAAACGGTGAACCTTTTCAGAGCAAGTTCGGCCTGGCGAGTTTACAGCTGGTAGCTTATTTCTGAGTGTACTTTTAGAGTTCCGCAAGCGGCCACTTTCAAGAGGTTAGATGAGTGTTAGCATACTTTAAGGGGAACTACCGGACGTCAAAATACGATGTCTCGTTGGCCTACTTGACGCTAATTCGTTTAATACTTATTAACAACCGAATTTAGAGTCTTCAACGCCTTGATATCTTTTTTAATTGTTAATCGATCAATATTTTCCTTAAAATTATGTTAGCCATATGGTTAAGATTTATAGTTGTAAAATACAATGAACGCGACACAATGTCTACAAAACCGCAATAATAAAGGGTGTATCAAAATATAAGATATTAATAAACAGATGAAATAAGATGAGCTAATAAGCTTAGTAACAGTTATTATTATTATTATTATCATTTCCGTTATCAATATCATTATCATTGTTATCATCAACATCATAATTATCTATCTATCTATATATATATATAGGCCTATATATAATACAGTACATAAAAAGAGATAAATAGTAATAACAATGCTCGAATAGGAACATGTTATAATCGTATTAAGAATACCCCTTCAACGAAAAGTTCATTTATTTATTTAATATATATATATATATATATATATATATATATATATATAG